ACGTAAGGATTCAAGAGTGACATTATGATCACTGGGCATCTATACACCATCAGTGAAGAGAAGAAAGGGTAGATACCAACTTACCCTGAGATCTCGACCCCATCTTTCTTCCTGCAATGACACTTTGACCCGCAACACAGGCATCAGAGGCCCCCTCCCAACCATAGAGAGACCTCAACACAGTTGTCTACACCTCACCCATCTACCTCAAAACAATAGTTTTTAAAATTGTAAAAACTGAGACTCCTCCCCCGCACCATGTGCTGCAACCGTTGGAAATATTCCATCGGTTTGGTGACTGTTTGACCCCATTCTACCCAACATGGCGGAAGATCACCTCCAAGAAATGGGTATTGGAGATCATCAGCAACAGGAATTTGATCCCATTCCTCTCCCTCCTGTCTACCTATCCCCCTTCCTCATCCCTCTTCAGACACCCTTCTCACGAGCACCTTCTGCAAGAAGAAATAAATCACCTCCTACAATTGGGTGCCAGAGAACCAGTCCCATTTTGACACAGAGGGAAAGGATTTGATTCCAAATACTTCATAATCCAAAGAAAAATGGCAGATGGAGATCAATTTTAGATTTGAGAAACCTCAACAAATTTGTCAATATACATTAGTTCAAAATGGTCACGTTATTGACAATAATCCCAGCACTGGAACGGGACTGGTTCTTGGCCCTTGACCTCCAAGTTATATATTTCCACATCATCATACACCCTTCTCACAGGAGATTCCTCGGATTTGTCCTAGGGTCGGAACATTGTCAGTACAAGGTGCTACCACTCTGGCCTTTCCACAGCACCCAGAGTATTCTCCAAAGTCATAGCAGTGGTGGCAGCGCACCTCCACAAACAGGGAATTATACTATTCCCATAGCTAGACAATTGTCTAATGAAAGCTCCTTCTTGAGCCGACACGCTCCCAGCCATATGAAGGATGATGGACCTTTTCTCAAAACTAGGCCTAGAAATAAACATGCTAAAATTGACATTGACACCAGTACAACAACTGGAATTTATTGGGGCTCAACTCGACGCAGTAGAGGCCAAATCCTTCCTACCAACCCACAGATTTGCCATGATAGTCTAATTACCATTGTACAAACCAGTCCACAGGTCTTGGCCAGAACGTGTTACAATTGCTCAGTCATATGGCAGTGGCAACATTCTTTGTAAAACATGCCAGATTACATATGAACTGCCACCAGCGCTGACTCTGAACATTTTACGTACCACACAGACACAGTCTCAACAAATCTCTCTCGATATCATACAAGTACTGTAGTGCAATATCTTTATCGTGAAAGTGCAATTTACAAATGTAGATTTTTATTACATAACTGCACTCAAAAACAAAACAATGTAAAACTTAAGAGCCTACAAATCTATTCAGTCCTACTTCTTGTTCAGCCAATGGCTAAGACAAACGAGTTCGTTTACATATATGGGAGATAATGCTGCTGATAATTCTTATTTACAATGTCACCTGAAAGTGAGAACAGGCATTCGTATGGCACTTTTATAGCCGGCGTTGCAAGGTATTTACATGCCAGACATGCTAAACATTCATATGCCCCTTCATGCTACGGCCACCATTCCAGAGGTATGCTTCCATGCTGATGATGCTCATTAAAAAAATAATGCATTAATTAAATTTGTGACTGAACTCCTTTAGGGAGAATTGTATGTCTCCTGCTCTGTGTTTTACCCACATTCTGCCATATATTTCATGTTATAGCAGTCTCAGATGATGACCCAGTACATGTTCGTTTTAAGAACACTTTCACTGCAGATTTGACAAAATGTAAAGAAGGTACCAATGTGAAATTTCTAAAGATAGCTACAGCACTCGATCCAAGGTTTAAGAATCTGAAGTGCCTTCCAAAATCTGAGAGGGATGAGGTGTGGCTCATGCTGTCAGAAGTCTTAAAAGAGCAATAGTCTGATGCAGAAACTACAGAACCCAAGCCACCAAAAAAGAAAATCAACCTTCTGCTGGTGGCATCTGACTCATATGATGAAAATGAACATGCGTTGGTCTGCACTGCTTTGGATTGTTATCGAGCAGAACCCATCACGAGCATAGACGCATGTCCTCTGGAATGGTGGTTGAAGCATGAAGGGACATATGAATCTTTAGCGCATCTGGCACGTAAATACCTTGTGATGCCGGCTACAACAGTGCCATGCGAATGCCTGTTCTCGTTTTCAGGTGACATTGTAAACAAGAAGTGGGCAGCATCCCTGTATAAAGCACCCATCCCTGTGTTATCTTTGGCAGTAGTCCTCCACTTCAGTTTCTCCATCTGCCAATGTGAACTTCCAATGAACCAACCCACCATTTTTCCTCCATTCTCAGTTTGGTTTCAGTGGTTAGTGGAGTCTGAGAGTACACCTAAGTCCATATCCAAACTGTTGGGGGAGGTGGGAGGAGGTTGCTGTCTGGCTTCTGTGAAGAGACACCTTGCCTCAACCTCTGTGTTATCACCTCTTATTTCACCACTGTCTCTAGCTATGCTGCTGTCTGTCTCTCAGTGCACTGCCATCTCTACACTTGTGTGGTCTAGTTTTGAGGCTCCACCACCTAACCAAGCTACAGTTAATACAACTCTAGAAGGGCTAGATAGGGGGAACCTTGCTGGCACCATCTCTCACCACAATGCCAAGTCTGGTTCCTCAGAATCCACCACCTAACCAAGCTATAGACATTTCAGCTCTAAAGGTGCCTGGTTGGACAAGTCCTTACCAGTTTCACTCATCTCTATCACTGCATTGTGGAGATGCACATCATAGTGGTAGAGGTAGGTAGTGTGGGTGTACATATGCATGCAACACCTTTCTTACCCTTTTCTTTCTAAGCACCAGTACCCAGCATTGTAAGACTGAGATTTTGGTTAGGGTGGCTACTCACTCAGGGCATATTAAATACAGTTCTGTTGCCCTTGTGTCACACAGGAAGCAACCCCATGCTCCCTAAACCTCTGACTGTCAGCAGCTGGGACTGGACGACAGGATGGATCACTTGTTATTTGCCCTGTTCTGTTTATTCCCTCTGAAGCGTCTGGCCCTGGTGATTGTCAGAAGACAGGATCCTGAGCTAGATGGACTATTGATCTGGCCCAGTATAGCCATTCTTATGTTCCTTTGTTCTTATAATAACATTTCATTACCCCTATACCCAAAACTGAAATTAATTTTAAATAAAATAACCAAAGTGTTCACACTGTGATGATGGGTAATAAACATGCAGATAAGGGCTGTCTCATTCTGTATCTTCCTCTGGCTCACCAATAATTGGTGGCAGAGAGCTTCCCTCTAAAGCTGCAGACCACAGGTTTACACAGGGAGTGTACAGAATGGAAAAAGTCACTATGCTATGCAGTTGTAATGACTGCTGATTGACCTACTTCCTCTACCTTATAGTGTCTGTCTTTAATATAAGCTACACAGGAGGTAGATATGGACTATCAGGTTCTGTCATACAGAGATTTTGTGGGGAGGTTGATGGCAGCCAGTTCACCCCACTCATCCAGCAGGGTACTGAACAAATTGCCAAGGCCAGTGGGGGCCTGTTTCATCTCCAACAAAAGTCAACTCCCAGTCATTCTGAGAAACCCTTCTCCTTTCCTTCACCCCCACAGGCTCTCTAGCCTATCAGGTAGGGAAAAGAGATCTTTCCTTATTCCCTCCACTATAAGAGAGACACTTTGCTCCCCATCAGGAAGGTGAGAGGCCTTTATTATTGAAATAATTTGTTTGAAAAAAAAAAAAAGTACAATGCAAATAAGAACAAAATTTCAATTCTTTTTCCTGTTTACAACCCTAAGGGAATAAATTAGTTAAGAAACTACCAGAGCCATTATATTATTCATTTTCTTTAAAACAGACTATTTTTTAAAGGACACAGGCAGGAAGAGTTGTGTTCAGTATAATCCAGTGTAACTACGGCTGAGGGCCTAACATTGGGTCTGTTATCATCAAGCAGAACTAGCTAATAATGCAAGGGTGTAAAAGACAGTGCACTAGGGTATGATCTTGAAAGGTACTGATGCTCTCACATGACCTGGTCCTAACTAGGTAATCACAGAAAGAAGCAAAATACATACATATCTTATTGCAATGGGTTTTGATTTGGATTTTTAATGAGTAAATGGAAATCATTGCTTGAAACCAAACCTAATTATTGTTTCTGATCTTCTTGTTTAATTTTGTAAATAATGCCAAATATCCAAAAGTGGGAAAAATCCTGATCTCTTTTACAAACAGAACCCCATTAATTCCACGTAGCTGAGACAAGGAAGCAATCATTCAGTTAACATGGTCCCTTTCTGCCACCTTGTGGCACAGCTGTGTTTGCAAAGGTACTGTTGCTGCTACTCTGAAACCTGTTATATAATATGTTCGGTGTATGTTAGACTTTAACTTTATTACTTTTAGCTATTTCTGAGTATTTTCGGCAGATTAATTTCAAGTATTTTCCAGACAAGGTTAGTGGTCGTAGCTCTCAAATGTTAGGCTACTTACAGCATGCATATAAATGTACTGAGTGAAATCCTGAAATCCTGGCCCCATTTGAGTCAATGGCAAAACTTAAATGGGTTAGGATTTCACCAACTGTGTTTAGAATGTTTTGGTTTATATCAAGTAAAAATAAAGATTATAAAAATGCATTTTCAAATATGAATATTTGTATCAGAACAATTATGGTCTCACTGAAAACTACACCTTAGAAATGTAAATTGCAGTGTTTGTGCCTAAAGCACCATATAGTATGATCTTGAGTTCTTTCTGCACTGTCATAGAGGATACTTTGTTGGTTTTGAAACAACTACCCACTGTTTCAAGTCTGCATAAAGAAATAGGAACCTATCATCTTTTATAGAATTCCTCACATCACTATCTCAGAATGTTTTATAAGTTCAAAGGTGTTTTTTTTAATAAAATAAACTTTTTAAGAATATGCTACAGCCAGATTTCCTCTACTTGCTTTCAGATTGGAATCACCAACTCGGTCTTTGAGCATGGATGCACCAAAAGGGATTAATATTAAAGCACAAGCTGGCAATATTGAAGCTCTCTCTCAGATGGATATCAAATTGCATAGCAGTGATGGAGTGGTGAGTATGATAAATGATATTTTTATTATTGTGGTTTATATTGATGCTGTTTGATATTGCCATCTATGTCATTAAGTCATTTTAAAGTGACTGTATTATAATTGTTCAGGTTTTAGCAAATATGCTGATAGTTCCAGATAATGATGCCATAATAATACATTTGTTTACAGGGCAAGGATTAAATAATAATGTAAAATTAGATGGTGTTGAAAGAGTTTAAAAAATGCTAAGAAGTCACTTCTATCCTAGCACAGTATTATTTTATTTATTTATTTATTTATTTATTTATTTTAAGTGAGTGCTCTGCTTTGTTCCATTCAGTTTCTGTAGTTCTGGAATATGAGAGGTAGAGTGATAACCTAATACATAATGAAATGCAAGAGGACAGATGTCCAGCTCTGGCTCCCGTTGAAGTCAGTTGACTTTAGCCATTGATTTCAGTGGAAGCAAGAAAAGACTCTAGGAGAAAAATCTTAAAGGAATTAAGTGCCTAAGACAAGTCAGTCCTTTCTAGTGAAAGACTAAAGGGGTGGTGGTGTCCACCTTTATACTCAGGCCTGGTCCACACTAACCCCCCACTTCGGACTAAGGTACGCAAATTCAGCTACGTTAATAACGTAGCTGAATTCGAAGTACCTTAGTCCGAACTTACCGCGGGTCCAGACGTGGCAGGCAGGCTCCCCCGTCGATGCCACGTACTCCTCTTGCCGAGCTGGAGTACCGGCGTCGACGGCAAGCACTTCCGGGATCGATCCCAGAAAATCGATTGCCTGCCGCCGAACCAGGAAGTAAGTGTAGACGTACCCTCAGTAGCCCACTGGTGGGGGCACTCACATGGGAGGTGGGAAAACCTAGGTGTGATTCCCTGTTTTCCAGCTTGAACACAGGTCTCCTATCTCTTAGGTGGATGCCTTAACCACCAGACTGTCAGGTGTGGGATTTTTGCAATCTCTCCTGTTGAACCAGATCCTCTATGTATAAATTACAGTGCTTAATTTGTAATGAAAGAGGTGCCCGGGCTCAAGGAATAAGGTGCTAGGGCTAAAGCAATTTTTTTTACTTTAATAAACTGATGCAGCAAGCCCAGAGGTGCCGGAGTGATGAACTGCCAAGCCTAGAGGTGCCCCAGCCACAAATTAAGCACTGATAAAATACATATTCGTTGGAGCAGGGACTGGACCACTGGTCTCCTAGGTGAGAGCCCTTAGCATTCATTCTCACGCTTTCTCTCTCTGCCCCAATGAGTATTAAAGTATTTGTACATAGTGGAACAATTTCTACAGCCCAGAATATCCTACAGTCTGGTGATTAGGGTCCTCATTTATGATATGGGAGACCTATGTTGTAGTCCAGGGGCAGGCAAACTTTTTGGCCTGAGGGCTGCATCGGGTTTCGTAAGTTGTATGGAGGGCCGGTTAGGGGAGGGGGTTGTGGCCCGGCCCCCATCTCCTAAATGCCTCTCCCCGCCCCCGGGACTCCTGCCCCATCCAACCACTCCTGTTCCCTGACGGCCCCCCGGGAACCCTGCCCCATTCACACCACCCCGCTCCCTGGCCCCTGACCGGCCCCGGACCTCTGCCGCCCCATCCAACCTCTCCTCTCATTCCTGACCACCACCCCAAACTCCCCTGCCCTCTATCCAACCCCCCTGCTCCCTGCCCCCTTACCGTGCTGCCTGGAGCACCGGTGGCTGGCGGCACTACAGCTGCACCGTCCAGCTGGAGCCAGGCCACGCCACCACCGCCGCCGCCACCACACAGCTCAGAGCACCGGGTCAGGCCAGGCTCTGCAGCTGCGCTGCCCCAGGAGCTCACAGCCCCGCCGCCCAGAGCATTGCGCCGGCAGTGGAGCGAGCAAGCTGAGGCTGCGGGGGAGGGAGGACAGCAGGAGAAAGGCCAGGGGTAGCCTCCCGGGCCAGGAGCTAAGGGGCCGGGCAGGACAGTCCCATGGGCTGGATGTGGCCCGCGGGCTGTAATTTGCCCACCTCTGTTCTAGTCCCTGCTTCAAATGAGGCAGAGCAAGGATTTGAAAACAGTCTCCATATCTCAGGTGACCACCTGGCTGTTGGGTATTCAGGAACACACATATGCCTTAGCCTGAAAAATTCCTGATCTTGGTATCCCCAGTGTATTTTATGCAGGCCTGATCTGGTAGGTGTGCTACCCGATTGAGCCCCACAGGCAAGACAGGCCAGGGAACGCCTAGTTTGAGTATCCCGCTGGAACTTAAGCAAAAGCTAGGGCACTGAGCAGCTTGGTGGTGTTAGGACTTAGGTGGTTTTGCGCATGCCCACTGGCGAAAACGTAGGCACCTGGGGAACAGGCTTCAGAGGCAGCTGAGTGGGTGTTTAGAGGATCTCAGTGTTTCCTAAATACACCTCTACCCCGATATAACGCGACCCGATATAACACGAATTCTGATATAACACAGTAAAGCAGCGCTCCCGGGGGGGGGCGGGGCTGCGAACTCCGGCAGATCAAAGCAAGTTCGATATAACGCCGTTTCACCTATAACACGGTAAGATTTTTTGGCTCCCGAGGACAGCGTTATATCGGGGTAGAGGTGTATTGGATTTAGGTTCCTAAAGTGGCAGGTAGATGCCTAAGTCCCTTTGTGGATCTTGCCCCCTAAGAGCCTAAATCCTACTGACTTTCAATGAGATCTAAAGGACAGATTTTTGAAGGTATTTAGGTGCCTACAGATAGGCACTTTTGTGAGATTTTTCCAAAGCACTTAGGCTTGGATTCACTAAGGTATTTAGGTGTTGTGATGTTGAGTGTCACTCCACCTAACTTTTAGGCATTTAGAAAATCACAGGAACAGCACTGTGATCCACAAAATCTGTGTTAGGTGCCTAGGCTCCATCTATCATGAATGAGGAGAGACAGGCATCTTAGACTGTAACTCACAAAAGCCAGTATCCTAATCCTATGTCTACATAGAATCATAGAATATCAGGGTTGGAAGGGACCTCAGGAGGTCATCTAGAGTCCAACCCCCTGCTCAAAGCAGGACCAATCCCCAGACAGACTTTTGCCCCCGATCCCTAAATGGCCCCCTCAAGAATTGAATTCACAACTCTGGGTTTAGCAGGCTAACGCTCAAACCACTGAGCTATCCCTCCCCCACTAGAGAGCTTACAGCGGCACAGCTGTACCAATGCAGTTGCACCACTGTAAGATCTCTCGTGTAGCCGCTCTATGCTGACAGGAGAGAGCTCTCCCATCAACATAATTAAACCACCCCCAACGAGCAGCAGTAGCCATGTCGGTGGGAGAAGCTCTCCCACTGACACAGCTCTGTGCACACTACCACCTATGCTGGTGAAATTTATGTCGCTCAGGGGTGTGTGTGCTTTTTTCACACCCGAGTGACAAAAAATTTACCAACATAAATGGTAGTGTATACATGGCCTAAGTGGGGAGTTGCCTAAACTAGCCAATGGGAGATGCTGACAAGAGGGGTGTGTGCTAAGCCCTGCCCCTCCTGGAGATAAACACCTCACTGTAGCCTGGACTTAGGCATCTAGCCCTGATAGTGAGTCTCAGTTGTGAACCCTCTGTTCAAGTTAGGCACCTAAGGCATTTTTGTGCTGACAAAGAGAAGGTGCTGCCTCATAACTTTTAGCCCCAGTGGTTAGGGTACTCACATGAGATGCAGGAGTCTCCCAGTTCAAGTCCCCCTCCACATGAGAAGGAGAAGGGATTTCAATGCAAATCTGCCAACTTCCACATGAGAACCCAAACCACAGAGCTATGGGATAGCCTGACCAGGGCCCTCCCTCAATCTCTCCTGTTGAAGCTGCTGCACTGTGGAGAACTAAAGAGTTCTTCTTCAAGTAGCATCTCTATGGGTGCTCCACTCTAGATGTGCTTGCAGCCCATGCACCTCAGATCAGAGATTTTAGGTAGCTGTGTCTGTTCAGCCCACGCATATGCCCACTGCAGCCTCATGCCTGGTACCATGCCTTCTCAACCGCCTTGACCTGAGACGGAGCCTCAGCAGCGTCCAAGTTGAACTTACCTCGACTGTATTTGTATCTCATTCTTACTAGTTAGTTAGTGTTAGTTCTTAGAATTTCCTTCATGTTAGTTAGCTGTAATAATTTTTATAGCTTTTTAAAAAAACGTCTAAAAGATTTTACTTATACTTTTAGGATAAGGACTGTTGTCCTTTCACCTATTTTTTGCTTTTTGTTTTTTGTTTCTCCTCTCAGGAGAACCTCAGCCCTGGGAGGGTATGCCTGGTTCTCCTGGGCTTAAATGCTGCTTTTCGTGCTGAGAGGCTATCCTGGTCAGAGACAGACACTCCTTGTGTGTCTGCTGCCTTGGGGAGTCACATGTTCCCTCAAAGCGTAATTTGTGTCTGCCAGAAAGAACTAGGAACTTAAACTACGTCTCCTCATAATGGAAAGCTCACTCTGACCAGCTTCTGACCCCAGCCAGGGGGACCTCCTCCCCCATACAATGGTCTCTGGACAGGTCAACCACTTCAACTTCCTCAGCACAGCAATGCCCTACAGCACTGAAGAGGAAATCTCTGGACTCCTGTTAAAAAGACCCTAGAAAGTGGACTTTAAGTCCTCTGGGTAGAGAATCTACCTCAAAGAGACAGTCTCCAATTCAGACAACTGCTTTGGTACCTACCAGTTTCCCACAAGACTGTAGGTTCTTTAGGTACTGTGACCACCAGCAGGCCTAAGAATCCTAAGGGTTCCAGCTCTGGAAGATTGGTATCATCGGGTGATTGGAACAGCAGAGAGAAGAAGACCAGCTCTTCTGAACTGGTACTGACAGAGCCTACTAGGACCTTGGTACCCAGCACTTCAGCTTCGCAAAGGACCAGGCCAACACCTACTGGCCATGCATCAGAGCGCATGAGATTTTCAGTACCATCAGTGCCTTCTGCCACAGTTACCTCTGCCCAACTTACTTCATCAGTACCATCCACTGTTACAGTACCGCAAGAGTTTTGATTTCTTCAGACTTGGCAGTAACAGAAACACCTGAATGTCCCTAGTTTGGCACTGACCCATTCTCGGTATTGAGAACCTC